CAAATAGATGATTAAAACTTAAAATTTTGTATAAAGATTATAATTTAATCTTTATAAAATATACGATTTTTAAGGTTTTCAGTCATAAAACTTTATTTTATACTTTAAAATTAGGAAAAAAAAGACCTGTTCTTAACACTTGCCTTAGTCAATAACTAATGTTTTTACATACTCGTTCGAGCGATTCTAAAATCTATAACTACTTTTTTAAATTTTTAAAATATATTTACAATGCAATAAAAAGAATAAAATTGTTTCTGTATCTTTATACAAGAATAAACGAATATTATCTTTAATACTATGATAGAAGCGCATATAACAATTGATAATAAATAATTCAAAACTTTATTTACTTATTCTTTTATCCAATTTTATATTTGAAATATAAATTTATAAAATAAAAAAAATCATATTTTATTTTAATAAACATAATTAAGTAGTTTTCTGAATGTAAAATACATAATGAAGTTTTGCTCTAGTTGATTTTATCGTTGGCCATCTGTCGAAAGTTCTACATATTTTGAAAATTTGGCAATTTCCTAAAAATAAATTATACAAAAACTTCTAAATTATAATATATAATATCATAAAATTAATGAATGAGTGTTTTTTAAATGGATTTTTGCCTGATTTTTTCAAACGAAAGTGATCGTATGATCATAAAAATTTGATCTTCTGTTAAATTAGTTCTACTCTGTTAGGTTTATTTAAGTTAATTCGGGAATTTTTTATCATAGAATTTATGTTTCTTATCAGAAAAAATAAAATAAAATTTATAATTAAATTTTATCAAGAAAAGTGATCTCATGATTTTCTCTAATTAACGATGCATTAGAGAATAATAAATTAAAAGCTGTATTTAGTCTACTAATTACATTTTTATCTTTTTAAAGGAAGTATATTTTAGATAATGCAAAAATCAGGGAAATAAATTTCGGTATTTTAAGGAAAAACAAAAAAATTTTAAGAATAGAGATTGTTACGCTAAATGTAGTTTATCAGCATGATAATGAAGTAGTCATTTCGTATACAATAATTCAATATAAAAATATATACCTTTGGGCATTTTGTGCTAATTATCATGATGATATTTATGCAATGTTTTGAAATTTGTTTTGAAATATCTTTAAAGAATTTTTTTATTATGCAATCAAACCTCCGAACGACGGCCATTGACGGAACATAAAAAAATGAGTATTGTTCCGAGGTAGTCATTGTTTGGAGGTTATTTTGTATGCATTTTTACTCAAGAAAGTTCCTAAAAAATGGTCGCTATTTAGAGGTCGTTTAATGGCCGTTATAGAAGGTTTAGAGCGACATGGTTTTCATAATTTTTTTAAATCTAAATTTTACATATTTGAATAATTAAAAGCTATAGATAGATATCAAATTTTGTTCGAATTTTTCTTTAGAATTTAAACAGAGACGTGAGAAATTAATCATTTAAGCAGAAAAAGTAAGATTTTTTTACAATAAATTAGTCGTTTCTAGTCGTATTTTGAATTGAACGATGCATTTTATAGTCACGAAGTAGCATTTAAATTTCAATTAAAATTGTATAAAATTTCATTTAAGAATAGATAAGTAACATCTAAAATTGGTTAAAATGAAAATTACCCCAAAATATCGTTAAAAATTGTCAAAATAATATAAAATTAGAGTGAATCTAGAGTAGCTATTTTGATTTAAAATAACAACTATTTCATATTAATTAAATATATCGTTAAAATTTGAATTCTTTTTCCAATATAAGTTCAAAAGACAGAGTAATTTTGTTATAAAAATCTTTTAATACTTTCTCTTTATATTTCTTTTAATGATTTTCCTCATTAAAATAAATCATTATCGTTATAAAAAAATCTATATTATACAATATAATAGTATGATATACAGCTTAAAAAAAGGAATAAAAATTAGAAATAAACTGAGAAGAATCAAGATGATGACTGATAACGAGGAAAATACAAGAAGAATTCGAATCAAACTAAAATCTTACAGGAAATCACAAAGAGGAAGCTTGATTCTTATAATCGAAGTATATAAAAAATTACATATAGTTTAGATTTAATTTTTTATAAATTATAAATTGATATACTAGAATAAATTCATAGATTAATCAATATAGGAAAAACAATTTTATTAGATAATATTGATAAAGAATGTTTTTTAAATAGTATAAAAAAAAACAGATAAATGTTAAAAAAACAAATTGATAACACGTTTAACAAGTTTAATCGTCGGGTCATAACATTGCACCTAAAGATTATCTCTTTTATTCTTTCATGTGACGCTTAGAGATGTCAGTAAGAGGAAAAATTCGCTTTTGCTTTCACACACGAATGATTTTGCTTACTCTAAACTGATTATATTTGCAACTAGAGAAGAAAAAAAGCAATCTTGATTTTTTTTCTCTTATTAATAATTCTTAACTTTCAAAAGGGTCGTGGTCCTTTTATTATGTTATAATTTCGATTAAAGCTTTCGTTTTATATAAAAAAGTAACGTAACAACTTTAAATATTTATTTCGATTTAGTAAAGATGGGGACTGATGCGAAACGTCGGATATTACGCCCAATAAAAATATTGTAAATTAAGTGCATCTAAAATGTTTAATAAGTTCAAACTGTCATAAATTATTATATTCTGTTTCAAAAATTTAAAATCAAAAATTTTTACTTTGTATATATTTTTAAATAGGAAGATATGTAAATGTTTTTGCTTTAGATCGTGGCATGCTAAAGTATGCAAATTTACGTTTTGAGTATTAAACCATGATAATTATATGAGTGATTATATAAAGTACATGTTATATAACTAAACATATTACATATTATTATAAAAACCGAAAAATATTACAAGCCACGCGCTTGAGACTCGACAATTTTAGTTTCTCTAAGCTTTATCTAACACTGTGCTGAGTAACGTGAGAAGCAAAAATATTATAAAAGAATATCAAGTTTAATGACCTACAAGAGTGAAATAATTCAAAACGATGTTTTTATAAGTGTAAATGGTATCAGATGAAGCAAAACAAAAGCATTGAACTCGAGAATAAAAGAAAACTTTTCGACACAACCATATCTGTATATCTACACTTAAAATATAAGGCATTTTCGGGTGCGATTCGAAACAGGGAATGTTTTTGTTGGTATATACATGATCTTCTTTACCGTTACTGTAAGCCCAGAGGCATGTTTATGTTCCACGATGTCCCAAATATATCATGTGGAACTAAAATTTTCCTTTCCTTCTGGCTACGTAATGTCAATCTCCTACACTTCTCACGTGAAATTATTTACGTCACCGATTGGGGTAGTTCCACATTTAGATATTCTAAAGGAGCTTCTCAGCTGACTATAAATACGGAGACAAACTAACAATTTTCACTTCTAACTGCGACATGTACAAATTAACTTTGGTGAGTGGATTTTGGATTTATACCTATCTTTCAAAATGGCTCAAGTTTTCGTTAACTTTTAATGCTGCAAACAATGGAGAGTGTTTCTCTAGACTTTCAATCAGGTTTACTGTTATAATTCTGTGAAGTAGTTTACTGTGTTATGTCCTCCTAGTCTATAACCCTTCCTTTTTTTCCCTGTTAAAATAATACTGTAGTAGCATGGTCATGATAGAATACGTAATTATAGGACGTTTGAACAATGAGGGTCAGAGTCGATTATTGTTAAGTTCTAGTTTAGAACGTGTATATTCAGTCGTGACTAAGTTGAAAATAGCTTCTTTTAACTGTTTTAGTTGAGTTATTTACTTTAATTTGTAGATACTAATATACTTTAAAGTGTAGCAGTTAAAATACTTTTTGTATTTCTTACAAACTGTATGCTATCCTCCCTATATTCCATATAACTCTTATTATTTAGATTCCTATTTATTGTATTTACTCCTAGCTTCTTTATCTCAAATTTTAGTCTTTATAATTTTATCTAGAGCTAGGCATTAAAATCATATACGTTAAAAATTATAACGTTATATGATTTTTAGTGCTGAAAATCTTAACATTAGTTTATCCCATATTCATAGTATAATTTGCTTTATAATTTCATATTCTAAATATCATTTTTACAGTAATAATGAATTATTTTTTATATTTTAATCTTTCTAATTTTTTCTTAATTTTGTAATTAAATATCTTACAAGTTAGTATTGATAAGTTTTAAGTTTTTAATATGACATTTCATGTAACTTCTATATTTTATACTCTGCCCTTTTCTAAATATTAAAACATAATTTAGTATTTTATGGCTTCCTTTATATTATTTTAACGTACTTTTATGAGATAAATATGTCATATTTTTCTTTAAAATTCAAGAATTTTTTCATATTAATTTAACGTTATTCTTCCATATATTCCTTCATACTTCTTAAGTTTCGAACCAGTTTAAAGTTCGATAGCTCGAATTAATTTAGAGATTGACAGATAGATATTGCAAATATTTTTTTATATTCATATTTAATATAAAATCATAAAAAGCATACTTTCCTTTTTTTATTTCATATTTTTAGAAACTAACAATTTTCAGTTCATTGTTTGATGCAACTGTTACCTTCTGTTCATCGTTTTTTGGTTCATTACCTTTCATGACCTATAAATTTATGTATCATATATATATTTTTTTCTTTTATATTTCGATAATATTAACGAAATTCGTGTTTCTTTAATGATCAAAATTTCTAAATTTGAGTTAAAATTGTTACAATTGTGAAAGGGAACAATGAATTTCCGTTAGCATTGTTCGATTTTAATTACATTTTCCCTTTATAGCATTGTTATTATTCTATATTTTAATCTTTATCTGTATCATACAATGAAAAAGAAAATACAGTACGAAACCTAATTTTTATTGATTTTTTAAAAAGATTATACTAAAAATAATTAAAATTTTCTATATTTATGAATATTTATTATTATATTCAAATTTATTCATAAAAATTAACATAGATTATTTACATCGACATTTAGGTTTGTGTGATAGTGTCCTGTATGGTGGCAAATGCCCTGGCAGTGGCCGTTTCTGGGTATTCGGATATCCAGTTCCATCCCACTTATAGTCATTATGGTCATGGACTTGGAGGATATGGCTTAGGACATCATGGACATGGAAAAATCGGAATAGCTGTTAGCAAACGTTATTTCCACAAATATCATCTTCCTCATATCCATGGAGTGGGACTTGGATTGGGTGGTGGACACGGACACGGTTTAGGTGGAATTGCAGCTCTTGGAGGTCATGGACTCGGTGGAGGACATGGTCTAATAGGAGGACACGGGCTTGGTGGACACGGACTTGGTGGACATGGACTTGGAGGTCTTGGTGGTGGTCATGGGCTTGGAGGTCTTGGAGGCGGTCATGGGCTTGGAGGATACGGTCTTGCAGGAATTGGAGGTGGACACGGACTACACGGATAATTTGTATACAAGGTATCACTATAAGTAGATCATTATCAAATAATATTTATATTAAACAGTATGGAATTTTGTTTTAAAATATGTTTAAATTTTTAAAATAATATTTTAATCTAAAAAAATGTATTTTTTCAATATTTATGAATAAATAACTTTAATAATGTATTTTTAATAAAGTTTATAAACATATAAATATTTTATTCGTCAAAATTATAAAGTAAATAAGATATACTGTATTTAATAGACTAATAATTAAATTATTTATTTTTCTATAAAAATAATTTTTGTAAATAAGTAAAATTTCATACAATAGCAAATGATTTTATATAATTTTCAAAATTAAAGCCTAGCTTTAATTTAGAGAAATAACAGAAATTGTTAAGAACTTTAATGTATTTAATATATTATTTTTTTAAATAAATAAATGATAAGAGAAAAAGTATTATTAAAACATAAATTACTCTTAATCACAATAATGTCTTAATAAAAACTGTTAAATTATTTAATTGATTAATTATAATGTTATAAATGAGTTTAAAATATTTAAAACATTAAATAAACATAAAATTTAATAATTATTTCTTTATTCATTAGCAGATAACGAAGCTTCAAGAAACTTTCAATGAATTTTACCAAAGGAGAGAACCACAAACAACACAAATTATACGAATTAATATATTTTTCATTTATATATTTATAATTTCATATTATTAATATATAAATGAAAAATTTATATAGTAAAAACTTATTAAGCTTGTAATTATATATGTATATGTTTACTATGTACTGTACAACACTCTCGACGGGTTTGCACTTTTTGTACATATGATTTTATCTTAATAAAAATATTTAATAAACCGAAAAAAAATCTATTTTTATTTATTTCTTAATATAGAATTTTTAGGATATGAATGATTAATTTTATTTGCATGCATATCTAATATTTTCTCATGGGAATATGAACGCAAAATTATCGTCAATTTATCATTTCAATGAATTTCAATCATGTAAAGAACGATGTTAATCAATTGTGGAGAACTTTATGCAATTTTAAACATGTTAAATTTAATTATAGCTTTTATCAGATTATTGTAAGATTTAAATGAAATTCGTTGTATTTGCGATTTGGGTTTAAATACATTGCAAAGAAACTTACAAATACCAATTTCGTACTTTTTAATATATTTAGATTAAAATAGCGTTTATAATATAAATGATATTATATAAATTACGGCTGTAATAATAAATTTTAGATTATTTTTTTATAATATATTTACATTGGAATCTATTTTTTTAATGGTTTTTTAAAACGATTTCTTGTTCTTTTCTTATTTTCCTTCCAGCTAAACACTGTTTCAATGTTAACGTATCTGTATATTCATCATTATTCCAATTAATTTAGAATTTTTCTTTGTAATTCTCGTCAAAAATACGTTTCTAGAAAAAAACTTCAAGTTATTAAAAGATAGATTGGATAGAACTGAACTTTGTTGTTCTATATCACTAAATAGCTAATTCAATTTGAGAAATTAAGAATATTCCCTATGTTTTTATGCATTTCAGTTACCTTATCATATAAATTTGTGCAAATTAACATTCATAATAGAAAAGATAAAAAGAAATATCTCGTATTTTGATTATACTACTTAGTTATGACGTAATAAAAAAATATATAAGAGTACGTATCAAAACAATTTCCCATACAAAATGCATTTATAAAGCTAATAAAATAGAGTTAACAACTTGCAAGATTTAAAATTGGAGTCTTTTCTATGTTAATATGAAATACAATTTCCACTTAGTATGACGAAGAGATTCATTTCTTCGTGGGTAAACTTCTTCAAGAACCATAAACAGGAGAGTTTAGCATTGAATTATACAGGAATATATTTTGATTATTTCATTTAAAAATAACTTTTTAAAATTTTTATTATTAATTTTATATTTTTCTTTATATTAGAAGCAAACGATTGCTGATGGGCTTAATTCGCATACTGTGTAATTAAACACAACAAACAAACGACAAGCAATAGTTTTTTGCAAAAATATTCAAAATGCATGTTTCAAAAATATAAAATAAAAATTAAAGTTAAATATTTTAAATCTGGAAAACTATTTTTAAATTTAAATATAAAAAAAACACGTTTTGAATTTAATTTGTATGTGTTCATAAGTGAATGAACCTGAAAGAAAGTCGAACTATAATAAATATACTTTGTTTATCATCTGTATTTATCCATCAGGATAAAGTTAGGTGGAAGGGCACAGGATATTATTTATAATGACCTTTGGTAACGTTCAATGTCAAGGTGATCTTTCAAGCACAGAACGTTGCACTTAGCTACTTAAATTGGGTTCATCGAGTATTGAAACCACTCGCAGAGATGAACGAGACAAAGATCGTAAGTATGCAAATGCCATTTATTAGTGATGAAATGTTTCAATTGTTTACCGATTTGGATCGTTAACTTCATTGAAAATTTAGTTATAAAATTCTGTGCGAAATAATTAGCATATAAATCTAAAGATTCGAAAGATAAATGCGTTTAGTCCAATAATTTAAATAATGAAATTATTTTAGAATTAGCATACGTTTATCTTATGTTTTCTACTATAAATAACAGAAATTAATTAAAAATTATTTTTTGTGTACAAGATAATTACTGGAAATTAAGAATTAATGAAGTCTTATTTAATTTAGCGATGTTTTTCCCTAGTAGATTCATTTCATTTTTATAAGCTTTATTTTTGATAGTTATATGGTCGAAATATGATTTTTGTTTAAGATAATTTTATATAAATTGTAATATAATATTATTTCTTAATTTTTTTACATTACATTCTCAATACTATATTAAGAATAAGACCATAGTAGATCTCAAACTCCTCGTTGAAAAAATTAAGTCTAAATTTATTTAATACTGGAACATATTCTAAAGCAACAACTTAAATATATATTATTAAAGCGTATATTTCATTAATTATTAATACTATTATTCTTATTTTCAGTTAACTTTATCATTTATTTTCATCGCAGTCATGCTACACATAACAAGAGGAAACAACTGGAATTATCATTACTATCAACGTTACTGGGATCATTATTATCAACCCTCACGTAACTACGATCGTTATTATCCACCATCTCGCACGTACAATCGTTACTATCCACCTTCAATCAACAATAATCGTTATTATCCTCCTTCAAATTCCTATAATCGTTATTACCCAACAACTTTCAACAGCAACCAATATTACGATCGCTATAATTCAAACCACTATTATCCAAACAGATACGATAATGGCGTCGGTTACGATAATAATTACCCATATTTTCGGCCACAGCATCAAAACACATACGATTATAACTGTAAAGGAGGACAGAGATATGGTAATGGTTGTTACGATAATCAGAGTAACAATAGAGTTTCTATTGAAACTGTATATGTAAATCCTGATATTTATAGGGATTACTATTATAATGGGTGGAATAGAAGACCAGTTATTGATAAAGAAAATACTTCTACATAATCCTTTGACTATTTTATGTATTATTTCTCAAAGTATAATGTACTGTACATCACGTACTGTACATTATACTTTGAGGAAATGGAACTTCTCCATTTCCTCGAAGTATTTCAAAGTTTATTTTTTATTACGTTCTTTAATTTAATTATGGATTTTACTGGTTATATTCTCCATAATTACACGTAAATCGTGTAATTGTATAAATATGAAAGAATTTTTAACATTTTGAATTACTATCATGTATGCAGTCTGAATTTTATTTATTTATTTATGTAATTTATAGGCGTTTTCAATTATATTTTGATTGCTAAATAAAACTGTTCAGTGTATAAAATTAATGATTATAATACTTTTTATGTCTTGTTACATTTTTTAAAATTATGTAAAACATTCTTCAAATTCATACAAAATTTTTATTTTTAATTTATGGTAAATATTTTATATCAATTTATTTATATGTAAAATGTGCTTTTCATGTTTAAAATACAAATTTAATAATAATTAATTATTTCTGTATTTCTGGAAAGTAATTTTTCTGTAACGTTTTACATTATAGTATTTTAAAATAAATATTTAATTCGCTGTATTCAAATGGTATATAATAAAACAACATTTTGATTTATAAATGTGACAATTTTTTTAATTAGAAATAAATTAATTAAAGCATTTTTTCTATTTATAACTAACACACATTACATTCAGAGATTTATAAAATTTTTAATTAATTTAGTTACAGTAAGATAGTTCGATTTTTTACTTAAATACACCTCAGTGACATCACTTCCTAGAAAATATAATTATAAATCTGTTAATTTAAGGGCAAAGAACTCAAAAACTAAATCTCTAAGTCATTTTACATGAAAGTAAATTTGTGGAAAATATTTCTTTACTGTTTTTATTGTTATTTATTGTGAAATTTCTGTTTGAAATTTATATGAAATAACAAACAGGAATTATATTTATGTATTATACTTTTTGTGTTTTCAACATAAAAAAGTAATTCGTGTGAAATATACTTATTAAAAGAAACTATGTAATTAAATTATCTAAGATTTAATCATTTTCATTTATTTCCATCAATATTTTTTTAGTTTTTAATTTAAGAAAATACTTTTCTACTATCATTTTTTTACAAAATAATATAATTTCATTCATTTTTATTCTATAAATTACTGACTATTATAAATCAAGTTCTAGTATATAAAAAGTTTTAATAATACTCTCTGAAATGTTAAATTTTCTTATATATTACTTAAAAACGTAAGAGTAAATCCATTAGAAGTATGAAAAATCTGTGAAATAATTTAATATTTTCCTAAAAAATCACTTAGCGAAGTTTCTATAAATGAAATGTATGGTTTGATGCTTATCTCAAGGCCAAATTTTGGTGATAACATCGATACCATTGCGTGATGTGTATTTATTTTGAGTTCATTATCCTATATCGAAATTGAACAATAGAAACATTCATTGTTATTAAATAAATAATTATTAATTTTCTACGAATTTGAGAAATAAAAAATTATCCCATTTTGTTTTTTGATATTATCATTATAAACACCTTTGATATACGTATACGCGTATTTAAAAGTTATTAGTAATTTTATTATATTAAAGTTATTTAATATAATATTTAAAAGTTATTTTGTAAAAAATAAACTGAATATTCGAATAAAGTTTTTATAAAATGTAATTACTGTAATTCCTAATTTTTTCTATGAATTCTTAAAAAGGATAATATTGTTTTAAAGAAATTATTTCAAAAATATTTTAATTTGACATATTGATGCAGTTTATTCCTTTTTTTATCATGTTTTAATGTCATTATCTTCTCGTTAGATGCAATTTTGGCTTTCTTTCGTACCATGTTACACTATACAAAAAAATTATATATTATGCTTTTACGATTTTTATACAGAAATCTTCATGTGGAAAATAGCCTTTAATAACTAACATGGTGATTGGACTTGGAAAATTGTTATTGTTGACCTTTAAGATATTCAATGTCATAAGTCACGTGATATTTTCGGGCAAAGAGCAATGCCCTTCATCTTTAAATTGAAGAAAAATGCATGCTTGAAACAGTTATGCGTAGAGACAAGATGAAGATGGTAAGTATAAGACATGACATTTAAATTTTATATTGAAATTTCGTAATAAAAATTGTTGCTTATACTCGTAGAAGTTGTCTATTAATAATATTCATCATAAAATTTTATATAATTAATAAATATTTTAATAATAAGCTGGATCACAAGAAATCAGATATAAAATTTCTCAATTTTCTTTTAATTCTATTTATAATGATGATAAGAAAATAATTTTATTAATATTTTACAGTTAGCTTCATTGCTTCTCCTCCTCTTCTGCTTAGATGATGTTTTTCCACACTCTTGGAGTAACAACTACTACAAAGACTATTTAAATCGTTACTTTCCTCCATCTCGAAGTTACGACCGCTATCAACCATCATCCAACGTTTACGATCCATATTATCAACAGTATCAACGATACGATCGTTATTATCCACCATATAGATTCGATTATCATCGCAGTTACGATAGATACGATCGTCATTATCCAAGAGAAGACGTTTATGATAAATACCAACGTCTCGGATTTAATTGCCAACAAGGATACGGATATGGATACGAATGTTACGATGATTATCGTCATTATCCTTGGCACAATACGAGATATCCAAACTATCCTTGGTATGACGAAAGATATCGTTATGATTATCCTTATCACCGTTACAGGGATTATTACGATCCAGGATGGAGTAGAAAAGCCGTTAGCAACAACCCAGATAAAGAAAAAGAGTAAGATGAATGTTTTCATTGTATACAAACGTTTAATTAGCATTTTAATTTCAAAAAATCTATTTAACTTTTATAATTTAGGATAGATTTTTATCTGTAAAAATAATAATTACTATGTTAAATGTTACGATAGGCAATCGTAATTTTGTCTTTTTATGTAGGCCCTATACAGTCGAACCTCTAATAACGGACACCTCCAAACAACGGCCATTTTTTTCTTTCCTTTCCGTTTCTTAGAGGTTTGGCTGTATTAACTTCGACAAAGTTTAATATTTTATGACATATTTAAAATATTTTTTTACTTTTTAAAACTCTAAAATAAACTTTAATATAAGATTTTTTTAAATTCGAATAACAGTTTAAATAAAATTATCATTATTACTAATTTTTTTAGCTCGAATCCGTCTAAAGAAGATTCTCCCGCCAAAAAGGACAACGTTGAAAATTAGCTTATAATATTTCGTATGATTAAATTCTATAATTATATTTATAAATTTGTATCATTTATAGATATATAATTTAAAAATAAAATATATATCTTTGGTTTGCCTTCCCTGCAGAACAAGTAGAAGTTGCAGGTTTGTGTTACATTTAAGGGATTGTTAAACAATGTTGCATGGAAAAAAAAATAACAATTTTACCTTAAAACTATGTTATTACAGTTAAAAACTTAATAAGTCTATTTTATATGTAGATTTGTATAACGATGTAAAATAAATATTTTTCTTAAAATTTGAGTGTTTTTTAAATATTTAATATTTAATTTTTATGTTCAATGTTTTATTCTATACATTGCTGCGGTTCATTCGAAAAGATACATTTTTATAGTTTATTTTAAAAGATTATCAATTCAAAAAATATATATGGAAATAAGGGAGAATACAACATTTAAAATTATTTTACTTTCTTATTTTATCTTTATAATAATATAAAATAAAAGCCTATAATTCTTTCTATTCTCATTAATGTAAATTCGAGCAATATACTTTAAGTTAAATTTCCGTTATAAATGTTTTTATTGAGTTGTAGGTGACAAAACGTAAAACATTAATGAAAAAAGGACGTTTTATTCAAAAATAATTGAATTTTATTTACAGTGAAAGACAAAGCAATAGAAAAAACAGTTGAAAGTCGAAGTTAGAAATATTTATAAAACATTTAAGAAATTCTTCATCACCTATAAAGAGATTTTTTTTATAAATAAATTAATATAATTAACAGAAAATCTTCAAATATTGGTGTTAAACTGGATATAATTAAGGCTTACCTTTTTCTAACCGAGATAGGCACCGTGGTAATATGGGTAAGCATAAGCAGCATAAGCAGCATAAGGAGCATATGCATGATGAGGACTGTAGACTTTTCCAGTAGCAGAACTAGCAACTTGTCCGGTGGTAAAATCATAATAGTTTCCAACCGCATCCTTAACACCACCAATGGCAGAAGCCACGGCGAATAAAGCAACGACGAAGAATAAAACGTACTAAGAATAAAACAAGTGATTAAGTAGAAGAAAAGTTATATAAAAATTTTAAAATATTAAAAATTTACATACCAACTTGTTCATATTGAAAGATTTGCTTCTTGGATATTCCAGTCAGCCGATGGGTAGTTTTCGGTTCTCTCTCTATATATACTAATTTCTCAGGGTCAGTTTGATGGAAGGGCGTAAACTATCACGTGACATTCATCAATTGGTACATCTACAGATTGATGAAGTAGCAAGGTCAACGGGATACGCCCTGCTCGACGGACTTTCCATCTGCTGACCCATTTAATAAAGTGGCTTCTTTGTGTAACCTTCCTGGTTACTGCAAAGGACCAACTATTCGGTCATCAAACTTTAAACAGGAATTTTTTAGTCACTTTCGTTAAATCGCTTAACAATAGGTGACCTTATATCGCTTTCTATTGAGAAAGTACAATGATTATATTTGCCTGCTTCTCCAATAAAATCAAAGTTTATTATTTTCAAATTAAAATCAGTTTGATGCTAATATTTAAAAAGGAATAAATTTAAATAATTTAAAGAAATAAATAAGAAAAATTTTATTAGTGAAATTAATTAATTATTATTTAGAAAAACAAATTTAATTGTTTCTCAAGCAGAGAAAGAAGCTAATCGTTTTCAGATTAAACTAGAATTATTCAAAATAATTTTTGCTGATGATAATTAGACTTTAAATCAATAAAGAGGTTACTTTTCTACTTTATTCGGGAGTAGATTTATTTATTTATGGGTTTTTAAGTTATAAATATTTGTTTGTTATTTTAATAAAAATGTACAAAGCTTACACATGCATTTATTACCAAACGTGCGAAGAAATGGAAATTTGATAAAAGCTGGAAAGGGCTCTTTTATGACTTTTCGCAGGAAGTTAAAGATAACCAGGAAGAAAGTCTGATCATTTTCAACTATAATTTCTAAAACAGAAAAAAAAGCAAAAGCCTTATTTTTCAATATAAAAATATGTTTAACCCATACTTTTCTACCTTTCCCCGTATAATATCCAAAATATAATAGTACTAATAACACATATATAGAAGAATTCTTGCCAAATTTCAAAAGTTTTGGTCCATAGGTCATGAGACATAAAACAAAATTGCAGGCCAACACATCCATGCATACATACTGTTTATATAATCCAAATGTACAGAAGTTTGTTCTCCTTTTTATTTTTATTTAGATTGAAATTTGTTTATATTTATTAAATTTTCACACGTATTGACAGTCTTAAATTAAGTATTTTCATTTTTTATATGGATAATTTCATATATAGCGTTATATCGGTGAAACCTCTGATAGTGTATTTTAACCATATCCACTTGCATAATTTCTTACTTTATGATAATTTATACATTTAAAACAGACAGATGTTAATAAAAATGCAACCTTGGCCTAGAAAATATTTAAGGAAAAAAATATCTGGCACTTACTCATCAAATGGAATATCAGATTATTAAAATAATGCTCATTTTATTGCCTAACTTATTCGTTCCCATAGAAAATTTTCAAAATATTTTAATAAATTCTCTTCTAAATCGAATTATGATAAATACTTTGTTTTGATATAATAAAATGTTATTTTACTATCTCCTAGGTGCGAAAATAAGGAAGAATTTCGTGCGTTTATTGTCTAAAAAATAATATAATAAAACTTTTTAACATATTCTTATTATTTTAAATATTAATTTTATTTAAAAATAAAATTATGCATGATTTATTTATGAAGAAATAGTGAGAAGCCAAATATTATTAACTTATATACAATAGAAGTTTAAAAACATTTTACGTATTTCTTTATTTAAAAAATTATAAATATTTTAGAAAAATACACGAAGGAAAAATCTTTTTTAAAAATAATATTAAACAATTTATTTGCGTATATAAATTAAATTTTTCGCCGTAAAGTGTTTGAGAAAATATCCAAAATCTTGTGTCAGTTTACGAATTTAAAAGTTTCTGATTATGTTTAAACAATTTCTTAATATTGTACAGTACTTAATAATAAAATAAAATGTATTTTAAAGTTNTATATAGTTTTTTTTTAATTCTCGATATTTAAAATTGCCGTATAAGAACTATATTCTTTTACATTTACTCTTAACAATTATAAGGAAAAAGAATAAGAAGAAACAGTATTCAATTCATTAGACTATAGTTTCCACATATAGAAACTATAATGAATAGAAAAACTTTCCTTTTTTTATTTTTTTCTGCCTACGCTTTTCCTCTTAGGCTATAGGAATAAGATAAGCAGTAATTAAGAGTAATTGTTGCTTTAAAAATCGGATTAAATTATATACGATAAAATATTAATTCATGAAACTCTTTATAGTATTTTTATAAAAATAAAACTTTATAAGAGTGTTTTAATTAATTCTAAAATAAATAATTAAATAAGTTAAAATCTAAATTTCATCAGACCCATTTTATTTTGCAGAAATTATTAAATTAGACAATATTATCGGTTTTATAAATTAATTTATAAAATTATCACTTAATATATTAAGGTTTTACCTTTAATATTTATTTATGAATATAATAATTTATCCAATTCAAGTATATTCATCAGAAATATATAAAAAGTTTTCTGTAACAGTAACAGAGACAATAATCTGTGCCTAAAATTAATTCATAAAGGATTATTTATTAGAAGGATTAGAAAAAAACTATGCAAATGAATTTTTATTCATGTAAAAAGTTATATATTCAAATTGATAATGGTTAAGATGGCTGATGTCACAATAATTTTAAATCTTGAACATTGTATTTAGTGTATAATTTTCCCGAACTATCAATCATGTTCTAGTTTTCTATCTCAAGAGCTATTCATCACAGATAACTGCCGTTCATGACATTTTGACACCTCGAGCAAAAATACAATAAGAAAAAAATCATGTTTCTTTAACAAAAAAAAATACAATGTTCTGCCTAACTTTTTTATACCAAACATTAAATGTGATTTTTTTTAATTTACTTTCTTAGGAGTTCCTCCAAAATAAATCATTATATGAGATTCTCAATTTGAAATGTTTAATATATTTTTTCAGTTGTAAGTCAATGATATTAAACATGGGTAATTCTCTAAAATTCATAAGTTAATGCGGATTTAATCTATACACTTCTTTGTTTGCGTATATCATCCTATTTTATCTGCAAGCTTTTTTAATAGAATGGTTCATATAAGATTATACAGCAATTTCTGGCTTTTCCAGCATTGTTTCTAGAGATCCTCGTTAAGTTATTATAAAGCAAATCATCGTATTTCCTGTCATATTGAAAATAGAAATTTAAGTTCCTGAAAATATAGTTCTAAACAGAGACGAAAGACAAAAATACAATACTCAAATATAGTCACATTAGAAAATACTGTCTGTATACGGTACTAAATCTTAATTGTAGAAGCAGGATTACAAAACGAGTGGTCGTAAGAGCGATCTATGATAGCCTATTTATTTTTGCATTACGTATAACACTTTATTTGTTAATTTAAATGTGTTTTAAAATCTTTTATATGTTTTGTTTCTATTTTCTAATGCATCGATGATTTTCTATACCGAAATTTTAAGAATTAAATTTAATTTACAAATTCATTTTCCAATCGATAACTTTTCTTGATCTTTTAATAGGTCGATCCATCCGATAAAACATCTTCGAAACAAGATTTAATTAATAAAAGTTATATTTCAGCTATTACAATGAATTATATGTGTAGAATGCAGAAATAGGTAGTTCTGGATATATACGGTATCCTTGAAGATATTCACTTTCTCATTTGATTTTTTACCTTGACCTTGAGAAAAAAGAAATGAAAGATCCCGTAGTAGCAGATCCTATATGTCATTTAGAATTATTGGCATATTAGGAAGCACAAAAGTGTCCTTGGTCTATAAATTAAGGTGTGGCAGTTGAATTGACGTATGTGTTGCTTCTTCAACCTTGACAATGGTTAAGAAAGAAAGTTGATGAAAAAACAAAAGGTTATTTTAGCTATTTATATGTCTGATAATATAAATTTGCATAGGGGAGATCGGGGCAAGATCGGCATGTTAAGCTTTACTTAAATTTTGTGTAATAAATACTGCTGTAAACTGAAAAAAAAGCTTTGCATATTGTCTATTGGAATGTTACCTTNAGGAAAGCGACGCAAAACACTAGGATTGAAACTCCGAAGGCGGTCTGGGGTGGAACGCCTAGAATTATATAAATTAATTTTCATAAATTATCTATAAAGTACATAAAAAAAACCCTGCAATTTACAAAATTCCCGCTTTTGTGACTATATAAATTTTCTATTAATACCGTATAAAATAACGTATTTACGAATCATGTGTTTTGTTGACCATGTCTGTGTTGTGTTGTATATTTAAAACTATAAATTTATAAATATTAGTATCAATTTTTAACAGAAAATTTACGACTCGCTTTACTGCAATGTTTTGAAATTAATAATTATTATACGAATTCAGGAGATTAAATAGAAATAAAAGTATAAAATCTGGTAAGACTTTTATAGGCGTGTTCGTTTTCTAAAATATTGTACACTTTGACGTCAATTTGATATCGTTTGTCTTGTCTTGTCCCCATGCAGGTTATGGCCTAATTTGGTGTCATTTTATCACTCTCTCCTCATAAAATATAGAAGTGATATTAACCTAAAATTTTTTTAAAATTTGCGAAAATTGGAAACCTAAAAAAATAAAATTGTTTGCTTTATCTCACCTCAAAAGAAATAAATTTGAACAATGTTTAAGCTGTTATTTGTCAGATAATTCTCTTATTTTAACAGATAAAATTAAAGCTTTTATCAAGCATTAAACATCAAAAATTAGTTTTAAAATTGGATTAATATTGCTCTAATTCAATTGTTTCTTAAAAACTTCTAATTTATGTGTTAAAAATAACACTTATTAATTAAAATTTATAATCTTTTACTGATTTGTCATTAAATTCTTATATATTTTAACAGAATAGCAAACAATAAAGCACAATGCATTCTTTATTACAGTAAAGTCCAAACGGACTAGATATTACTATCCCCAATTAAACAATACTGTAATACATCATTCTATTAAAATACAAACAGTAGAAATAAAATAAACAATACATTCCTGAAAATACACAATAAAAAGGTAAATGAAATAAGCAAAAATTGCAATTATATATGTACATATTGCGCTTCTTTGAAAACAAATTGAGTGATAAATTTTAATTCAATTTATGCATGTATATTATATAAATAATACTGTATTCGACTCAATAGTTGATAGTCACAATTATAAATAATAAATAATATTACATAAATTATCATTTATAAAGAAATTTTAATTAAGAATTCATTTGATAAAAAATAACAGTGAATTTCAAGTGTAACATGTTTTGATTGTTCACGAGATGAAGCTATGTGTATTAAGAGTTACATAAAAAATTAATTCGTTTAGTTAGTATATTTGACGTTATTCCTGCATTTTTGTAATGGAGAATAGAAATAAACTAGAGTTAAAGTGTAGATTATTCTGACAGAACAAACGCCTCCTTAGGTTGAAATACTTTGTGAACAGTTAAAGTATTTCACTTGTAATATACTAGATGGCGTTACGAATACCAAAAAATTTTATTATGTACAAATTTAAGTTTTATATTGGTGGTGCCATCTAGTGATGTTTTGATTTACTAGGTATAAATTTTTATTATTATTTTTTTAATTTAAAAATAAAAATTTATGTATTTATTTAAATCAAATGATTAAACTTGAAATGCTTTCAGTTATATTACGTAATTAATTAATGTTAATATTACACTATAATAGTTATCAATATAGTGAATTAATATTACACAATACTACTCTAAAAAAGTATTAAATATTTTATACAGTATTAAATGAAGAAAACTTTATACAATACTTCAATAGAAATTTTTGATACGTTTTATCAACTTTTATAAAATCTGACTAAAGTTCGAAAATACTTTGCATATATTTTTCATTAATCGATTCTTATATGATTTATTTACAGTTATAGAATGACTATTGGAGCATTCCTGAACTTTTTCGGTATTATTTTGCATCTCATTTTTCCACAGATTAAAGTGAAAACTTATTTCTTTTTACAGTTAACAGAATCAGAGTTTCATTTATGACATGTACTCTATATTTTGTCAATCATTAAAGCCTAACATCGCACTTCAGAAAATCGGAAATGCCGCCATTATTTCCCTCTAACTTTGAAGATTTAATCGAGGTAGCTTATACTTTGATTTAAAAGTCCGCTGTAATCTGAGTTGAGACTGATAGTGCAAAATCGACAGTTGTGTAATATAGAAGGTGAGTACAAAGTTTCGTCACCTTTATAGAAAACTAATCGTATGTTTTATTTGCTATGTGTTTCAGATAAAAGAACGTGAATAATGGCTAATACAAATAACTATATCTCTGTAAGGGAAAGAGCGGGGAAAACAATGGGATAGGCGCGTACAGACTTCCAGCAGAGATTCGGACGATAGCCTCTTCCAAAAAATAACACTGTTTTGATGTGAGTATGAGATTTTTACAACAGATAGAGAAAAGGATAAGCGAAGAGATAATTGAGATAAATAAATAATCCAACAAAGACCTAGAGATGTGGAACACACTGTAAATATCAAGACTTGGAAAGATTATCCACTTTTTACGTCACAAGCGGCACGTAATAGCTGTAGTACTGATTTTTACTCTTTGACTATAAAAATAGACGATATCGTCATTATCATATTATTAACAATTATAAAAATTATTTTTATGTTAATACCTAAATAACTAATGAAATTTCTAGAAAGTTTACTTTGAACGTAACTTTTTCTTTTCCTGCTTTCGGTTCTGTAAGAACTAAAGGGGCCTTTTTTTCCACAGGCCATATATTCAGCCAAGCCCGGATGATAATAGACAGTGCCCGATATATCCGGGCCAGAATGCCCATGAAAAATTCCTTGGTTTGTCTCTCGGTCGGATTCGAACCCCAGAGAGGCAGGCTGACGCCTTAACAGCCTCGGCGATCCGACCGAAATGTAGGATGTAATGGAATAAGACAAAGCAACACACGGGCTATCTGATAAATGAGTGCCTCTCGGGAGGATTTTTATGACAAATAGGGCCCTATTTAGACGTTAGATACATATAGAAAACCCGGAAATCTCCACGCTGCCAGGATGTCGGTGAGACACGAACCCGCGACCAACCGTCCATTCGGCCGCTGGTGGACGGCCGAAATAGAGCCTTATAAAGAGAACTTAAACATAAATTTTTTCATTATTCTTAAAAATAATTTATTTATTTTGAGGCATCAATTTTTCTAAAATACTCATACATAAATTTTATTACAATTTCTTTGATTTTTAAAAATACAGGACATAATATGTTAAGAGTAAAATGTGATATATATTCTCAGCATATTTACGTAATTTTATATCAACTTCGCATATTAAAAGTTTTTTTTAATAAATGCTAACATCTTGCTTTGTAAAGATCACTGGGTTTCAGTGACGACAGCGGTTTTCCTTTCAACATTTGAGGGGAATTACAGTCGGCGTAAAGTCTGGATTTATAGCTGGCAATTATAATGTCATTCAATCCTGAACAGCAATATATGTTATTTCCTGAAAAATAATCGTTTATAAATAAAATAATTTAATATACCGAAAAATATGTTAATCTTACCTTGGAGATGCATAGTCGACAATGGTTTATTTTCCAAAAACTGGAATAGCTTGGGAGAAAGAAATTTTATTTTGTTTCCTTTCATATATACTGTTGTTAATTTAGCCATATCTTGAAAAAAGTCATCGGGGATTACTTCTATTTTATTACAGCTATAAAATAATTATTTAAATTAAGAAAACATCCTTATTAAAACATTAAGTATATATGATTTACCTCAAATTAATAAGTCGTAATTCAGCAGCGGGTCTTGGAAAAATATCACGGTGAATCTTTTGGATCTCATTATTATTCATTAAAAAATGTTGCAAATTTGTAAGATTACTAAAAGAATTTTTATGCAAATGTTTAATTTTATTATAACTCAAATCAAGAAATCGAAGCGATTTTAAACTAAGAAAATTATCGTCAATTTTATTCACATCACTTGATATTATTGCGAAATGCGTCAAAGTATTCAACACATTGAATACATTCCATCTCCATGACGAAATTCCATGTATTTCTTGAAATTTAATTTTCTTCAATACGTTTTCTAATCCCGCAAACATTTTTGAACCTTCATTACTTTCAAATCCCAATAACTTACTCCGATTCATCATAAATTCTTCGATATGAAAATTAACAAACATTTCTACAGGAAGATAAATCAGGAAGGAATCATGAATTTCAAAAGCTTGTACACGGTATTCCGCTAATGATTCCGTTAAGGATTTTACTACAATAGGATCCATTAATTCAGTACAGGAAATTCTTATATTCACCTCATGACATAAACACTCTGGTATGTCTTCGGGAGGAGGACAATTTTCCTTTAACTTCGTCGCTCTCGTTTGTATAAGGAATAAAGATAGAAATATAAGAATTGCAACTTCCATTCTGAGAATACTAGTAGAAAAATATTTTTTCATCATTAATATATTTATCTTAAAATAAATCTTTAATTCTGATTCGATAAATATATCACATGATATTTACTGATTAAACTAAAGATAATATATGAGATGTTTAAATTTCTCAGATGTTGACGCTATGTATTTGATTAAATTAAGACAAGTCTTTTAGAAATTATTTTAAAAATAAATAATTTTCAATATGATACATTTATTCTTTTTAAAATCATTTTTTAATTTTCTTGATTTGGCTGAAGATATAGCGTCAATATCTAGAAAACTTAAATATTTCATATATTATATTCACAGGCATTCCTTATCAACTACGATTTCGAAATGATGAAATTTCTACCAAGATTTGGATTAGTGAAATATTACAAAATTTTTGTTATTTGATATTTTAATTACTGGTCATTTATACCGTGTTTTAAAATAAAATAAAAATGGTGGTTTCTACTGCCTTGTTGTTAGCAGAGGAAAACATTAATACTTTTTATAGCCGATGAGAAATATGAGAAATAAGTTGAAATCGAAACACCAATACCAACACTGCAATAAACAAGCAAATAAAGATGGCATACGATCTTGCCGATCCTCTTATAAATATCGGCCGGATCCTCTGCTCTCACCAGGATGTAGTAAAAACGATGGCAATTAATTAATAATTAATAAAAACAAGGCACTGTGCCATTTTGCCCGAGTATGCCATTTTGGGTTCTCCCCTGTAGAGCTTTGTGAGTCAGTATTCTTAAGTATGACGATAAAAATCATATATCTGGAATGATATATAGGCCTAATAATGTTTTTACACCGAACTAGCTCCACAGGGAGGCTCTGATTTGAGTTCAAGTCGGAAACTTCAAGAATTTTTTTTATAGATGTCTATTCTGGATAAGTCAGACCCTATCTCTCGCCATCCTTTTTGTGGATCTGATCAAACTCTCTGATGGATGTGATTAAAACGCTTCTTTTAGTGACCTTAAGGCCGAATACTCATACAGTACATTCCTCAAAAGTGAAATTGGAGCACCACGAAGAAATGCACGTAGCCACATGCAAATTGCATGACCGATAGAAGTGACAGAGATATGCAAATGATTAAATTCGCGTACGCATCGGGAGATATCGTACCCAGATTCAAGCTATAAAGACAAGCAGCCGTCTCGGACCGTAAATGCTATCAGCAACGGTTCGCAGCAGTCGAACATTCGAAGAAGCGTAGAAAATGCCAATGACAGTCTCGTTTCCCGGACGTTAAACCAATAGTTGACGGCCGGGAAACGAGACCGTATCCTGGAAGCTGCATGACTTCGGTTTGTAGATGCGCTCAGTTGTCACGTGTGTTGGGCACGATGTGAGTACCATCCAGAGATGTGTGACAGAATGGATCGAAGAGGGAATGAATCACACGTGACATCCGAAGCTGTCTGTCGCCGTTAACGGGTGCATCTGTGTCGACCCACACCATTCGCAACAGGATATATGCATTCGGGATGCACACAAGACAATCAGCAACGGGAGTGCCATTAATGGTTCGACACAGGGCTGCACGCCTGGCGTGGTGTTGTCGTCATCGCATTCATTTATTCATTATTTTTTATTGCACAAACAACATGTACATCCTGGTCCCGCATTACCAGGGAAATGTTTACATGGATAAAATTCAAAGTACATACGTAAAACTAACAGAATAATCAAATTGCAACTGTCATCATCGCAACTGAACTACTGAATAGCATGGGGTATTGTTTACGGATAAATTCAGCTTCTGTCTGAGAAGGAATGACGGTCGTGGACGGATGCGGCGATATCCTGAAAAACGCTAAGTGCCAGCCCTTTTCGCCAAGCGCTACACCGGACATCATGGTTTTGGAAGGTATCTCGTTCGATCAGTAGACTGCCCTGATGCACATTTCCGGTACTCTGACAGCGGACCAATACGTCATACAGATTGTGGAGCCTGTGATTTGGCCGCCACTGGTGCAGGCCGCACTTGACACACTGTTTCAGCAAGACAATGCCCGAACACACGTCACACGGCGAAATCTCACCGGCCCGAATGGAATTCACATCCTTCCCTAGCCGGCAGCCTCGCCGGATCTCTCTCTCATCGAACACCTGTGGGATCTCGTCCGATGTGAGGTAATCGGGAACCACCGCCATATACCGTAGACGACTTGCGCACCTCAGTGGATGCAGCTTGGTAAAGTATGCCTCGGGCAGCCATTAATCGCCCTACTGATAGTATGCCTCGCCATATAACGGTCTGTATAGCTGCCCGTGAGGCCATATTCGTTACTGAATAAACAGGTGTCTGTTGCGTATTTTTGATTTTTTTTAATCATTTGCATATGTCTCTCACTCTACCGGTCCTGCAATGTGCATGTTGCTACGCGCATTTCTTCATTGTGTTGCGATTTCACAATTGAGTATTGTATGTGATGTATATTTATTAATGATAAAATTCATATTATCTGACAAAAGTTCATTCTTTGATTATCGAATTTAATATAATGACAATGTGAAGTACGAAGATTGAAATATAAAATATAAAATTTATATCAGTAGAGCAAAATAAATATTTACATTTTTCATTCTTTCGTTGCTGTATATTCTATTCTATATAAATATTTTCGCAAGAAAGAAACGACGATAAAACTGAATTAAAATAAATTACATACTTCTATATATTTTTTTTACTTTCCCGGATGTTATAATATAACACGGAAAAGTATTGGAAACGTGTCTCCTATGGGTTTTTGACAAATCTCGACGTTTTGAGACTCCCTAAATTAAAAAAAGTATTAAAAAACAAAAATTCCGTGGATATGTATGTGTATGTTAATATCTCAGGAAGGGGTAATAATTAAGAAACGAAATTTGGCATGGTAGCTTTTGTATAAAGGCCATTCATTGATGCTACAGTATTAAATTTTGGAGGTTAAAGGTTGAAGGAGAAGGGAAATAGAGAAGGAACACGTATCATATCTCGAGTGGAATCGTACTTAATGAAGGTTTTACTTTTTATTAACATTTACAATTTTTTCTAAAACTCATCATTACCCTCAAAATTAAGCATTTGCCATTTCATAATAATTAATTATATAAAACCTTTTAAAATAAAATCTCATAATACATGACACAACACACNTCTATTCTATATAAATATTTTCGCAAGAAAGAAACGACGATAAAACTGAATTAAAATAAATTACATACTTCTATATATTTTTTTTTACTTTCCCGGATGTTATAATATAACACGAAAAGTATTGGAAACGTGTCTCCTATGGGTTTTTGACAAGTCTCGACGTTTTGAGACCCCCTAAATTAAAAAAAAAGTATTAAAAAACAGAAAAATTCCGTGGATATGTATGTGTGTGTTAATATCTCAGGAAGGGGTAATAATTAAGAAACGAAATTTGGCATGGTGGCTTTTGTATAAAGGGCATTCATTGATGCTACAGTATTAAATTTTGGGGGTTAAAGGTTGAAGGAGAAGGGAAATAGAGAAGGAACACGTATCATATCCCGAATGGAATCGTACTTAATGAAGGTTTTACTTCTTATTAACATTTACAATTTTTTCTAAAACTCGTCACTACCCTCAAAATTAAGCATTTGCCATTTTATAATAATTAATTATATAAAACCTTTTAAAATAAAATTTCATAATACATGACACAACACACAATTTTAACTTTCAGCTAGTGTCATAGTTTTTTTTAAACTTAAATATTTTTTAAATAGAAGTTTTTATCACAATTCAACAAAATTAAGCTTTCGTTATTACTTAAATTTTACATCCTATCAATAGTAAAATTAAAAATTTCGAGTTCCTTCCTGGTTTCGATCAAGAACCCTCGCCAGCTTTTTTTAAAAGTACTTTTAATTGATTTGATAACTCACAAGTTAAAAAAAATATATTTATAAAAAACAATTTCAAAAACAAAGTGCCGATAATTATGAGATTTAAATTTGTAAGAAGTTAAATTTATAATTTTTCATTAAAACAAATTTCATAAGAAAAGTAATAAATTAATAAGTTTATAAATTTCCTGCCGTTGATTCAATCGATTATAAATCGAGTGAATCAACGGCACAAATTTATATATAATATTGCTCTTAATATCTAAAACCCCTTATGTTTTATATAATATTCATGTAAAATATATGTCCCAAATTAAATTTCACATTTTCCAGCTGACTACAGCAAAAACTATTCATCAGAAAGTGATGAAAGTTCGGGAATTCTTTAAAGAGATGATGAGAATTTTTCTAAACCAAAAAAAAATTAGTTTTAGAAACCACTAGAGAGCGTATTATAGCTTTATACCGAACATATCAATGAGCTTATCCGCCTGATTGGCTTTAGAAAAAGTTTCTATTATCTCATTAAGGCATTCCCAAACTTTCATGACTTTCTGATGAATAGTTTTTGCTTTAGCCAGCTGGGAAATGTCGACTTTAATTTGTACACCCTGTATTTAATTATTTTGGGTGTATTAGCCTACTGCATCAGCTAAAATTCTATTCTTAAAATTCTTTAAGGAGAGACTCTAATTTACTGTATTTCTATAATAGTAACTTCGGAAATTAAATTATAATTGGAAAAAATGTCTAAGTGTTATAATAGTAGTTATATTAAACAGAATTCACCGATTCTGAAAATAAATAGTAATATAAAATATATTTTATATGTTTGATCTATTTGCTAGAATTATTTTAAAGTAAACATTACATAATTGGAAGACAAACACAGCAGTATTTTGGAATCTTCTTAGAACGTCTTTCCCATACCAAAAGAGCACAGTTAAATTCCAACGAGATGTAATTTTCTTTATAGATTCTTCCCCACCTAAAATTACGTTAAATTTACTTTTAAAAGTTACTTTATCATCAGAATCTTGTAAAAATTGTATAACAATAAAAATTCAAGAATAAAAATAAATGGTAATTGTGTAAAATTATTATAAAACAGAATAAATAAACATATA